AAGGCCAAGGGCACCGCGATCGCTCATCCAACGAGAGAGATTCTAGATGATGAGGCTAGTGAGTCTAATCTCGAGGAAGTTGTTATATCAGCAAGAGATTCAAACTCAAAGGAAGCCACGGCGTTGGAACAATCGAGAGGCTTTGGTGCCTCAAGAACCTGAGCGCAGCTCTTCAAAGAGGACTGTTGACTCAAATAATGAAATTAGGACATGGAGGCTTCTGGGAGACATACCGGTGAGCTGTTATGCCTTGAACAGCAATTTTGTATGCCTAATGAATGGTTCTAACACTGCAGTTTTTAGCAGAATTTATCTTATGAGAGGATATAAAGAGATGGAAAGATGAGCGATAGAGTAGGGTCTTATACTGTCTATGGGAACGGATTAGAGAGGCTGGAACAAAGCATGCACGGGAGCAGACGCTAAAAGTGATACAGCTTGCTTAAGGTCTGTACGTGAATGTTCTAAAGGTGGAGCATCAAAGATGTCTCTGTTTCCTCCTGCCACTGAAATCTTGCCTGTTTGTCTCCAACTCACGTAATATGCAAGACAGCAGAGAGGGTATTCGAGGATATATGGTGTACAATGTCCCTAGATCAAACCATTATATCGACTTGTGTTTGAGCTTTTCCCTTAACGAATGCTTCGCATCATTGTTGGGCCTGCAGTGGGGGTACATGATCATTCGCCTCGGAGAGGGCAGTGCTAGTGAAAATGAAGTCCTTCGAAAACTCCAGGTCCATGTCGAGGTCAATGTCGTGGAAATGGTTTTCGTCCCAGTTAGGTCCGCTTTGAGTCCCTTGGAGCGACGCATTCGGAGGACACTGTGAAGCGTCACTTAACTGCGAGTTCGACTGCCTATTCCTGTTTGCTTCTCCAAGGGCTTGTCTTGTACGACGTGGCCTCGCCTGGCTTTGACAAGCTGAGACTCTCAGATCCTGGTCCGCAGCAGTGGCTCTGAATCTTTTAGGACTACGTCCCGACTGCGGTGTGGGAGAAGCGAAGGAATCAGCAAGCATATTTCCGGACTGGCTTTGTGTGTCTTCATCCCTTTGAGGCGTTTGCTGTTGTATTGTGGCGGCTTCCGATGGCCCCAGGGTTGACCTGGAGCGGTGTTGTTTGCTTGCTGCCTTTGGCTCTTTCGGTCCAGGCTTGAAGCCCATCACACTCATCAGACGACCAATATGTGGCTGGGCTTCGGAAAATTCGCGTGCTTTGACTGCCCTTTCTTCGCGTAGTTGTTGCACCTGCAGAGATTGGTGAGTCTGTGTCTCCAATAAAGATAAAAGTTTCTGGCTTCACCTTCCTCTCAAGATGCTGAATTCGTCTTTCTCTTGCTTGCAATTCTTTTGTGGCGTTGGAAGCGGCTACGTGCATGGCGGCTTGCAGAGACTTCATTTCTTCTTTGTTCCCAGTGTACTATGCGCCTGAGTCAGAAGATTTTACTTTTGTTTCTGACCGCGACGTCTCACCTCCATAGTTATTTCCGCGATCTGCGACTCATATTGCTTTTTGAGAGTGCTAACTTCAGTTCTGCGCGTTTCCTCGGCATCTCGAAGCGCGGCTTTGAGTTCGTGAACCTGAGCTGACTCTTCATCCAACTGTGAAAGATATCAGCACAAAGTATTCATTATTCCAGGAAAAGAAGGACGATTTGTACCTTCTTTTTCAAGGCTTCCGTGTTCGAGTTCATGTGTCCTTGATCTGCCTGTAGTCTGCTTATTTCTTCATCCTTCTGTGCAAGGAGTAGCTTGCCATGTTCAACGCATTCTTCCAGCCTTACTACGTCCTGTTTGAGGGCAGTGGTGTGCTCCAAAACAGTGCCTTTCTCCTTCGAGACAGTATCCAGTGTTTGGCGCAAGGCGTCATTATCTTCCTGCAAGTTCTGTGTTTCCAACTGAAGCTCTTCGATCTGGTCATCTTTCTCGGTGATTGTAGCAAGAAGGTCTAGTTCCCTTGTTCGAGCTTTTTCTCTTTCACTGCTAGTTGTTTCCTGGGAGTTGCGACGATGATCTTCCAGCTCTCTTCGCGCAGTGTCAAGGCTTGCTGATAATTCATCAACGCGGGCAGAAGTTGACAGAGCATGCTTTTCCAGATGGGAAATTTCTTGCTGCAGCTCAGATATTGTGCTAGAAGCTTGCTGTAGTTGCAGTTCCAGCTCGCTTTTCTGTTGCTGAAGTTGTTCAGCCTGAACAGCGATCTGATCACGCTCATCTTCAACTGCTCGGAGTGGTGCTTCAATTGTAGTACAACGCTGTTCGAGGTCGAAGCAGACCTCCTCTATCTTTCGAATTAAATTGTCATGGGTCATGCGCGAACTGAGCATGAGAGTCTCTGCTATCCCAGTCTTCCAATCGTCTCTCGAAGTGGGACCTCGTTTTGGGAGTCCGGTTAACGGAAATTTGACTCGTAAATCCCACGGTTCGAATTCGGAGAAGCTACATTTGTTTTTTGGGACCAACTTTTTTGCCTCCAGTAAACAATTTGTCAAACTGCTGGTTCCAGACGGGTTGTTGGCTCCGGAACCCATTGTGCCCAATAGTGATATATGGGAAGTAAACACGATTAAGTCGAACAACAACTCATTTGCAGAGTTGGAAGTCGAGGCATAGCAAAGATTGGCACCCCGGCATTGCGAATGGCTTGGTTTCTTAGGAAAGATTCCAGCTAACTCGTTCAAGGTGTGGCTGATCTCTCTTAAATCGTATGCCGCCATGGCTGAACGTAAGATTCGGGGTTCCACGCTCTGAAGACCAAGAAGCACCGACCTCGATAACTCGATTAACTCTGCATTTGCACTATGGTTATCGCAGTGTGTTTTCAGTACTGTGAATATGTGATTCATGAGATCGCAAATCGCAGGCTTTCCCGAAAGAATCTGAAAATAATCAGTACGCTTCTAGACCTAAGTGACGAGTAACTTACAGCATTCGCCTTCACCAAACGTGGAATAAGATATTGAGGTACTGCTCCACGAGAGTGCCTTTCTTGAGCAAGGAGATCTTGCAAAGCAAGTTGAGGTATTTCAGGTGACAACGCGCTGTCTGGTAGGAGTGAGGCAAGGAATGCCACGCCCTATGTATGTCAACAGTCGGCTCGGCCGTCTCATACGTCGCGCGCATCATACCATCATTTGCACTTGCCAGTCAATACCATTCCTGTTCACTTTCTCGCAAAGTTTGGCAATTTTGGGAGCGTTGTTCGCAATCCAGCAGTCCTTCTGACCCTGCTCTACGCTGTCACAAATCTCGATTGCTAAGCGGATGCTCTCGGCTGCCTTCCTCGGTGGCAGATTGTCGCAACTAGCGGAGCATGCGAGGATCACGCGCAGGATAACGAGGTCCAGAGTCTTCAAACCGCGCTTCTGGCCAAAAAAATGTTTGACATTCTGCAGCCAAGATGGAAATTGTGGTCCGTGTTCTCTTTCAGCATTAGTGTCCCAAGAAGATGAGATTCGGGCAAAGGTAGCGAGACAGAGGAGATTGCCCATGTGGTCGTCGAGATTCCGCAGTGTCTTAGTAAGCTCTACCTGAAGGTTCGACATTGTCTCCGGAGATATTTCAAGTAATACTCCGGGGACTGGTTCCAGGCCGGTCATAATTTGATATAGCGGGAATATGGTTTCTGAGCATGGATTCTCTCCCATTGCGTCTATCAGCCTCATGATGAATGTGGCCAGACGAGCTGGAGCAATGAAGTTCGGGGGAAGAGGAGTAGAAAGAATAGCAGTGCAGAGTGCCATCCACTATCATCATCAGTTCATGTGTACTGGGATCAAGACAGACATTGAAGTATTTTAGCAATTCCCAAGGATGAATGAACAAACCTCAGGCTCATCATTTTCCAGGGCCTTCTCCAGGAACTGGTCAAGTACAGCGGGATACCGCTCCAGCAGAGCATCGGAAACAGCCGAGACAGATGCTACGGGACGTAAGACTTAAACCTTGATCGACAGCGCATCGAACACTCACCGAAAGCATTCAGTAACGGCACAGCGAAACGAGACCGAGACAGTCCGTCGAAAAGCACGTCGACCAAAGCTCCAATTTGGCATGGTTTATGAGTAGCCCAGGCATTACCCAAACCATTGGAGTCATTCTGAATAATATCTTGAAGGCTCTATCATCGTAAGTCAGCTATCATTTTCTCTATATTCGTTATCAAGCGGGGTACAGATTTACTTGGAGCGAGGGCGCATATGGGGCCGTGATGAGGCGCTCCACTTCGTGTATTAGGAGTGATAGCTTGTCTGGCATGATTTCATCTAGACTGACCCATAAGACGAGAATACTCTTCCGAAAATACTTGATACCACCGAGCGGTGGAATCGTGAAGCCTTCAAACAGTGGTACTGTCTTGATTCTGCATGAGATGCAGGTATGCAAACTTTAGCTTTCCCGCCGGTTGCCCCATCAACGGGTGCCCATCATCTCTTCACCTCATGGAAAAGACTCAATCTTCAATGACCTCGGAAAAGCAAAGTCAGAAATGATGCCAGTCTCACAATTCCTCTATATGACTACTAAGCATGCAATTCGAACTGGCAGCTTGATCCTCGCTATCCCTACCATCGTCGTTGACCGGGTCGGCATTAATTCCGCTCTTCGGATTTGAGGCCGATCTGGGGCAAAACCGGGGCAATGAAGGTTGACTCCGAATGCGGTAGGTCATTTAGCGTGGGGGGACAAGTCATAGGGCCTATGATGTTCCTTAATATTAAAAGGTACTGTGAATCTGGACTTTTCCCACGTTCTTGTTCGTCCTATTTTCGTGGGATATTATTCGGCCGAATGCCGACGAGCTCCTCATACCTGCGTTCAATGGCGTTGACGCTTATAAGGTGCGGCTGCAAGATGCACGATTACCGAAGAACAGCAACGAACAACTTGGCCTAATAAGTATCCTTCTCCCACTTGGTTCTGTGTACATCTTCCCCAGTTAATTATTCGTCCATGACTTGAGGAAGCTTCCTGATCAATCAATTCCTTCAACTTCTCTTCATGTCAGCTGTACGAGGCCATCTTCTTTCTCGGGGGTTCCCCGCATATCCCCGCGCCCTTCTTCGGAAAACCAAAACTCCCCACCTGCACGTTTCGTCATTCAGAGCTACTCGGTATAGCAGCTCCAATAGCTCAGAGATCACTTCTAAAAGCCAGAGTAATTTTGCTGGATCAAATTTCCCCGCTCAAGCGGCTCCCAGCTTCTGGACGTCCGGCAAGGCGCTCCTTGCTTGTGTCTTGGCTGCTGGCATTGGCTACACGTATGCTGCCACTAGTCGGCCGTCGCAGTTGGAGAGTTCAAAAAAGCCTCGATATGGGACGGCAAAGGCTTTCGAAAAGGTGAGATATTCGCAATCAATTGGTCTGAGGAGCGAAGCACATGATGCTGATTCTGGCCTCAATGATGCTTAGGCCATTGCTGAGTTGCGAATCACGCTCGGCGATGATGCTATTAGTACGGACAAGGATGAACTTCAACAGCATGGATATTCAGAATGGTCTTCCGTGAACGCGGATCGTCTTCCGGTCGCCATTGCCTACCCAACGTGCACGGAAGATGTGGTGAAGATCGCCAAAGTTTGTCAAAAATACAGGATGCCAATGGTTCCTTACTCTGGCGGTTCAAGTCTCGAGGCAAACTTTTCAGCTCCTTACGGGGGGTTGACCATTGATTTCGCCATGATGAACAAGATACTTGAGATTCACGAAGATGATATGGATATCGTCGTCCAGCCATCCATCCAATGGATGGAACTGAATGAAAAAATCAAGGACACCGGTCTCTTCTTTCCAGTCGATCCTGGTCCGTCAGCAATGATCGGTGGCATGATTGGGACCAACTGCAGCGGGACCAATGCAGTACGCTATGGAACGATGAAGGACTGGGTGATCAACCTGACAGTCGTCCTGGCAGACGGCCGGGTAATGAAGACTAGGAGACGCCCCCGAAAGACCTCTGCTGGCTATAACTTGACAGGAATGTTTGTAGGCTCTGAGGGTACTTTGGGTATTGTCACCGAAGCAACTCTCAAGCTCGCCCCGATTCCAGAACAGACTCGGGTTGGAGTTGTTGCATTCCCCACGATCCGGGATGCTGCGTCGACTGCCATGCAGCTTATACGAAAAGGAATCCCGGTACAGTGCATGGAGATTCTGGACGATGTCCAGATGGATGTCATCAACCGTGCTGGCGGTACCGGCCGGACTTGGAAGATTTTGCCCACGCTTTTTTTCAAGTTCTCCGGTACTAAAGCTGGAGTTTCTGACAGTATCAATCTGACGAGAGAAGTTGCCAAGAGCAACAATGCAGCATCATTCGAGTTTGCCCGAGACGACCGAGAGGCACATGATCTTTGGTCGGCGCGAAAGCAGTCGTTATGGAGCATGATGTCCTTGCGGAAGGAAGGTTCGGAAGTGTGGTCAACAGATGTTGCCGTTCCGATCTCCAGGCTACCTGATATTATAGGTTGGCATCAATCTTAATTATCCTCGAACTTGTGCTGACTTGAATAGAAATATCAAAGAAGGAGCTTGACAACCTGGGGTTGTTCGCCAGTATTTTGGGTCATATCGGAGACGGAAACTTCCATTCGAGTATAATGTACGACAGAAAGGATGCCGACCAAATGGAGCGGGTTGAGAAGGTCGTCCACGATATGGTCGACCGCGCCCTAGAGATGGAAGGATCTTGCACCGTTAGTATAACCAAGCTCCTCACTGTATCCGCAAACTAGCTAACTTCGAACGACAGGGCGAACACGGCGTGGGGCTGGGCAAGAAGGCATCTTTGAAAAAGGAGCTTGGCCCGGCTACTCTTGATGTCATGCGTAGCATCAAGAAAGCCCTTGATCCTCACTGGTTGTTGAACCCTGGTAAGATCTTMGACTATGAAAATGAATCAACATGAGGTAGAGTAAGGGGAAAATAATTACCCTTCAAGACTTCTCGAGATGGAGTTCTTACCTCGGCGGCCATGCATTCGAGACGATGATACCATGGTCCTTGTGTGCATATATTGACTGAGGCCAATGATTTTATGAGCAATTTGTACATCTATGATGTGAATAATAATAGCAAGCGACCTACCTTGGATATAAGAGGTACCTAGTACATATTTTATTGAATTCATCCAATCACATTGCTAGGTTTTGCTGACAAGGTAGCGCGCAGGTGGTGGGTGCTGACTCATTGTGGGGCTTAGCGCAGGACGGAGAAGCGATATCGCAGTCCGTAAGTCGTAAAAAGGTACCTTGATATTGTTGCCACAAGCGTCTCTCCTGAAACACTCGGTGAGCATTATTCAAAAGGTTAGTTAATATGTTTTCTGTGCGTGGTATTGCTCGTTGGTTGCGTTTGTCGAAAGAATGTGATGTTCGGCGCTTGAAGGCCTGGGCAATGGAGATTGTGCCTGCGGGGCATTGAATTCTAGATGAAGGCTTTTCGAGTCATACACTTGGATTCGCCTGCTTTGCCCAAGGCTTTGCATGTCTTTCGATTTCTTTGTATGCCTGATGGATGATGGACTTCTTGTTCTTCGAATTTAGCTCATCCCTATTCTATCCAGCCAATTGACTCAAACCAGATCGACTGAGCCGTTTCGCCCTGATTTCTCTCAATCAAGATGGCATCATATCCCAAGAAGAAGTGCGGTATGGGCATATTTCAGTCCATGTCTCCCCTAAATCATTACTCACAGCGAGATAGGTGTCCTGGGCGCCACCGGTTCGGTCGGCCAACGATTCATTCTCCTCCTCGCGGACCACCCTTTCCTAGAGCTGCACGCCATTGGCGCATCGAATCGCTCGGCTGGCAAGAAATACAAGGATGCTGTCAGATGGAAGCAGACTACGGCTATGTCTGAGAGGCTTAGCAATCTCGTCCTGCGCGATTGCAGGGCTGATCAGTTCAGCGACTGTGACCTTGTCTTCTCGGGCCTCAACAGCGACGTAGCTGGTGAAATTGGTACGTGATACTATTATCTCGACGTTAAAGTGCGAAGGACCGCCGCTGACCCTCGCAGAGATGGAATTCATCAAGGCCGAAATCCCTGTCTTCTCTAACGCCAAGAACTATCGAAAGCATCCCCTTGTTCCTCTCGTCGTCCCTACCGTCAACCCCCATCACTTGGATCTCATTCCTCACCAAAGGAAAGAGTTCGGCCTGAAGAAGGGTTTCTTAGTTTGCAATTCTAACTGCGCTGTGATTGGCGTTGTCATCCCTTTTGCCGCTCTCCAAGCCAAGTTCGGCCCTGTTGAGGATGCGGAAGTTTTCACCGAACAGGCCGTGTCTGGCGCTGGCTACCCTGGTGTTCCCAGTATGGACATCATGGACAACGTTATCCCCTATATTAGTGGTGAAGAGGACAAACTTGAGAACGAAGCCCAAAAGATTCTGGGATCTCTGAACGCCGATGCCACTGCCTTCGATGAACAAAAGGGGCTTACGGTTGGAGCCACCTGCACTCGTGTTGGTGTTACCGATGGCCACATGGCTTTCGTCTCATTGCGGTTCAAGAACCGGCCCGGACCCAGCGCGGAAGAAGTCAAGCAGGCTATGCGAGAATACCAATCCGAGGCTCAAAAGCTTGGTTGCCCTTCTGCTCCTCAAGAGGCGATCAAAGTTTTTGATGAGCCTGACAGACCTCAACCCAGACTTGACCGGGATATCTCGAAGGGATACACTGTCAGTGTGGGCCGTGTTCGTGAAGCAGCATMGGGCAGCCACTTTGACCTGAGATTCGCTGCACTCTCTCACAACACCGTCATTGGAGCCGCAGGATCGTCTATCCTTAACGCCGAGGTTGCAGTCATCAAGGGCTACATTTAGACTCGTGCAGACTTCTTAAGAGAATTTGTTGTATAGCGATTTGAGGACGAAAATACCGATTTCAGTTTTATAGACATCTAAGCATTATTTACCAAAGAATTAATTGGAATTACGCTTGACAGTGATAACTACGAAATAATTATGAATTATATAAGCATACACAAAATCTTTGTTTTATGCAGGTGGTTCTAAACTAGGTATAGCGTTAGGGCTCCTCCCACAAGAATGCTCCGCTAAGCGAATTTCGTGAGTGGAGCGGATATCACCTCTTCTTGTCTTTGACCTTGGTTTTTTCTTCCGTGACACTTCGACAACTAACCGGGTTCAAGTCGACAAAGCAGTCAAGATGCCTCGCGGACCGTGAGTTACTCACCATGATTAATTCTATCTCGGCTCGCAAGCTGCGACAGTGTTTCGGACAACGGGGTCTTTCTCGCGAAACAAGGAGCAATACTTGCAATGACCGAGTCCTGAATTGAAGAGCTTGAAACTGACCATGAACTTGATTCCTACAGTAAGAAGCACCAGAAGCGCCTCAGTGCGCCCTCGCACTGGCTCCTGGACAAAATGTCCGGAACCTATGCTCCCAAGGCCTCCCCCGGTCCTCACAAGCTCCGGGACTGCCTCCCCCTGATCGTCTTCATCCGCAACCGTCTCAAGTACGCCCTGAACGGCCGTGAGACCAAGGCCATCATGATGCAGCGTCTGATCAAGGTCGACGGCAAGGTCCGCACTGACCCTACCTACCCCGCTGGTTTCATGGACGTCATCGGTATCGAGAAGACCGGCGAGAACTTCCGTCTCATCTACGACACCAAGGGTCGCTTCACCGTCCACCGCATCCAGGCTGAGGAGGCCGAGTACAAGCTCTGCAAGGTCAAGAGAGTTCAGCTTGGCAAGGGCGGGATCCCATTCTTGGTTACGCACGATGCGAGAACGTGAGTGAAATGCTCTCCACAAGTTCCGCGTCATTCAGTCGTTGGACCAAGCTTTGGTTGATCGGCGGAGGACGAGAGGGCTTGGATATCCCCAAATCCTTACTGGAATCAGTAAGAGGTTGAACATTTGGTGCAGTTTGTGCTGACCGAGATTGAATCTAGCATCCGCTACCCCGACCCTGCCATCAAGGTCAACGACACTGTGAAGGTTGACATTGCCACTGGCAAGATCACCGAGTTTGTCCGCTTCGACACTGGTGTTGTCTGCATGGTCACCGGTGGTCGTAACATGGGTCGTGTTGGTGTCATCACTCACCGTGAGCGCCACGATGGAGGTTTCAACATTGTCCACATCAAGGACGCTATTGACAACTCCTTCGCCACCCGTRAATCCAACGTCTTCGTCATTGGACAGGAGAAGCCCTGGATCTCTCTGCCCAAGGGCAAGGGTGTCAAGGTACGAAATCACATCCCGGAAATTATAATACCAATGCGCATCTGCTGACAATTCATCTAGCTCACCATTGCTGAGGAGCGTGACCGCCGCCGTGCCTACGCTCTCGCCAACTAAGTGTGGGATGGTAAGTGCCAATGGTGACGGACATAGTAAAAAAGCCTTCAATAATCCGCTGGGGCGTCGACGTCTTGTCTTGCTTTGTGGCCTGTACGATGCCGGTTCATGAGACGATTCTATGATGCGTAACCTGAAAAAGAAAGAAAACTTTGTCTCAATACGCATTCAAGGGATCTGGTGGTTCATGCGACATCAGATTCAGACCCCTCGTAGGATCCATCTATAGCAAAACAGGAACGGAGTGTCTCACAGTTCTTTGATATGATACCTATGATTTATTCTTTTTTCATGAGCGCTGTCTAATTCTGATTCCCTTTCATTCCCTGCTGTTCAGCTCATGCACCCTAAACTTGTAGTTTTCACTCATAACCCCAAGCGACGATCTATGTAGGCAGTGGACCAGTACCAGCGAAAAGGCGGCCGTAGCCTGGATCCATATCCTTTGCAAAGCATCAAGACCGTGATGCGAATCTGAACTTGTATGCAGTCTGGTACATGAGCTTCTCGTTGCTTAAATTCTTCACGCGGCACCCATGAAGATACTCCTTTTCAACTCTACGTCCTGGGATTTATTACAGACCCTTACGAAAAGTATACAGACAAGAGAGAAAACGAACAATGGAGAAGCCTCAATTCAGTTCTCTGAATCAATGAATGCAGAAACCAAGCCCGCCTCACTTTTAGGACTAAGTGACCAGTCAATCTAGCCGTCGATCTCTATTGGTTTTTCTAAGTGTGTCGTCGTAAATAGAATAGGTACCTAGGTAATGAGCCAATGCAAGGCTAGGTACAAGCCCACTACTGAGAACCTATCATCTTCGAGTTCCATTGCAAGTTACATGGTGATCGATCGAAACAGGGGAGCGGGCTGTCGACGGAATCCCGTTGGTCACCTGAACTCAATTCCCATTCTTGTTGATTTGATTTGATCACTTGGCCACAATTACTCCGTAGTCCCTACCCGGCTAGGCTCGATTTTTATTGCTGAATGCTCTCAAGTGCAAGAGCTCGTTACGAGAGGTTGACAGATGGGGGCAAGGAGGAATAATATGCGCAGCAATTCATCATCCTAGTCAATTAAGTGTCTAAGCCACGGTATGGAAGCACTCAGAATAGTACGCTTCACCGGACGTATGCCTTTCACGCTCCCTCGTTTCTTCAGCAGTACTCGTTGGGAATTACTTGCAGTGAGCAAGTTCATCCGGCCCGTTGATGGTACAGCTCCCCACCGCTTCAAAAGGAGCATGGCCATAGCGAATGATCTCTTCTCCGATTTCTTCTTACTCTTAGTCCGTGATTGGAAGAACGGGTGATCTTGAAACGAGTCAAACAACTAATAATAATATCCAGACAACTCACAGCTCTCTCGATTGTCGCATACTCAGACTTTAATCCGCGGCCAACCAGACCATTGTGCCAGAATCGAACCAAAGGCAAAAAGGACGGAAGGTCACACTGGCTAGATGAGAGCCCTGTGGTGTCTGTTTCCCAAGAAATCCAGCTCTCCCTTTTTGTCTCTGAGTTGACAATCGTGGTCGCGGACGTGGGCAAGCTGATGTGAATGGTTTCGTGCCACGAAGATCTCCACTAGAGCCAAACAAGTACAAGGCCACCTGCGACGCTATGTTTGATTTAGTTCGGTTATCTTAGGGTGGATAGGTAACTTTGGACCAGCGCTAATGTGAGATACAAATACCATTTATATGGGGCAATACAGCCTCGAAATCATGTGCGTCCGCAGGACAAGGTCTTCTTGACGGACACTCCGTTTCGACTTGGCTCGTTTATCGTTTAATGATGATAATAGGTTCAGATTGATGATATCCCTCTGCGATACGACGATTAATAAATAACATGGAGCCGAAGGCACGGGAGAACTTCAGATCCAGGTCGCCGGCTGCTTTCCTCGCCAAACGGACCATAAAGGCCTACTAACCGTTATTACCTCAATACGAGATTTCAACTCCTACTGATGGATCTATCTAGTTGCCCAACCGTGGACTAATATCAAGGCATGTGTGGCAAATTCAGGTTACGTAGTCGACTGTCGACATAAATTTGAACATAGTTATATACCGGTCCATGATTGATGACGTTGAATGCACCATCTTCTTGAGGAGGGAGAATTACAGTACCCAGTGGCACCGACAACAAGTACCTTTAGCAGTTAGCATCGACACGAATTGTATGGTAGCAACCATCTATCTTTCTAGCAAGTACTTGAAAAGTGGGCGCTTTCTTCAATCTCCGCACTGGGTTGTAACCCCATCAATGATGATCCACCGGCCACAACTGTAACCTGGAACCGAATTTGGATCGACACGGCCCCGACCGACGCCCAATTCCAGAGTTACGGACTAGCTTGGGTGAGAAATATTGAAGTAATTCCAAAGTCATTCCAAGACCCAATGCAGCGCAGCAGTTATGATCGCGCAGTTGGATTGCAGTGGCGTCGGATGGCTATGGCTCGACCAACCCTACAAAGCTTTATAACTTGTCCAGCAGCACTACTATCTGCTGCGTTCTACTGTACAGGTCTCGAGCTGAAAGAATGTTTCTCCTTAAGGCATGTATAAAGTTGTACTTCCACCTATGCTCCATAGTTGTGACAATTAACGTATGGGGAGGCAGTGGCGAGTGCTCCTGTGGAGTACATTTTCAGCTCCATCCAGGAGACATGCAGTCAATTTGCTCTTACCTTAAACATCTTGATTCATGCTCCTCAATTTCTCATCTTTTTCGGTCATCTCCAAGGGCGCTTCAGAGGCGAGAATTCTGACTACTCTTGTGTTTTCTTACTGGAGTGAAGGAGCCACACCGCTACAGACTACAGGAGTATGCCCAAAGCTCCCTGGGGCAGTGACACAGGGGGAGCACACCCGGGCCGCATCGAGTACGCACATACATGACCGATTGCGCACAGGCGGAGTCTTCCAGGGTTGACTGGTGTAATCCATTCCTGGGCTTGCGAGGACAGTACAGAGTACAACAGCAGTACTGTTGGTTCTTGACCGCTTCTATGTCTCTCTCCCTCTTCCTCAATCTCGGAGATTTAATACTAATGAAATAATGGTTGAAAGAACTAGTTAACAGGTTGGCGACGTTGGGAAGGATTTACCAACTGGATCGTCGAGGGCCACCTAGCCCAACGGCGGGATGCAGTTCGATACCAGCCAAGTACGTCAAATCCACATTTGAATACTTGTTTGGTAGTTAGATAATCGTAATTTGTGGGAATTAATTGAGGAAGATTCACTGCCCTTGATTTCTGTTTGACATTCTGCCTTTGCGTTGACGCAGTTGCCGCTCCCCAGCCGATTCCCAGCGCTGTGGTTCGATAGAACGGCCCCTGCCGTCGTCTCGTTCGCGTACCAATGAAAATAGGCGATTCGGGTATATGGCAATGGCAGTCTTAACACAATGATAATAATATGATATCTTTGTGTTTAAGAAAGGCTATCATTTGATCAGCGGTGGCTACTGCCCTACCCCCTTTCTTCCAGTTACTGCAACACTAGGTACGTATGGGAGTACGGATAAAACACGAACATTCAATGAATTACCTAGTCTATGTAATACTCCCGGATCCGCCGACTTGACTCACCTCCGGTATTCCCTCCGTATCATGGACTATTGACCCAAATGGATAGTCTAATCCTTCAGCAGTCAATCACAACTCCCATGTGAACGTTCCCCCTCTTTCAAAGGTTAACCTGGCTCCTGGGACCCAGTAATTTGGGTATGGGTCGACTCCTTTCGCCCTTCGCCCTTCGCCATGCGCCACCTTGCCGCCATGCCTCCCTGTCCTGCAGGCCTGAAGCTCTAAAGAACTGTTTACTAGTCTCTCCGGCCAATAATGAAGGAATTGAGAGACCCATATGTTTTCCTCGTGATTTGTATAACGTGGCAAAAGGTTGCAGATTCAAGTGGTAAGTATGCTTTCTGAGACGACAGTCCAAGCTCTGGCCCCTTGGGAAATAAGAAAAGAATGGGACAGGAAAAAGAAGAACAAGCAAGAGAAGAAGGAAAAAGCCACAGCTGAAGAAAAGGAAATTGAAGCTCTTAGCTGTAATAATAATAGAAGTCTCCATTCCACCTTCCGACTTCTCCAACGCCGATATTGTTCCCCCATAGCTGCCTTGGCTTGCTACCCGTTGCTTCCTACCTCTCCTCGATCGTCTTTTTTGTCCTCACTTGCGTGGTTTTTCTTTTTTCTTCTCTTTTCTTTTTCCCTCTTGAACTTTATCCTGCTACAGGGTCTCTCGGATGGTTTATGCAATTCCCGCTCACAGACTGCTTTGATCAACAAAGATTTGAAGTTGCTTTCCTTCTCGAGACCCCGAGTGCTGGTCTTTGAATCTCTGGGAGATAGGACCTACCAACGGTCTCTGAACTCATGTCGACTTGAAAAAACGCAGAATCTCGCTCAGAAACATCAAAGGTAGCTGGATACGGTATCAGCCCCTCCATGCTTTCGAAGTGATTGATATGGTTCTCAGACTTCTGAGATGTACTCCGCCAGCGCCTACGAAGAAGCCGTGTTTGAGCCGTCGCCCGGGATAAGAGCGACCTCGTCCGACAACAGCTCTCTCCTCTTATCAAGTACAGAGACCGACATGGCGCGGTATTCGCCCGGTTATGCGGTGGGGGAAGCAAGCAGGGTAACATACATGCCGGAGCAATCCAGTTACACGTCCTTGTTCCGCTCAGACTCCGAGATCMCACCATTCTTTGTACCCTACCGCTGGTGGGAAGATGAAGCCACTACGGTGCTCTGGGCGTTTGACGTGCAAGAGATCAAGCGCGTGATCCGCTACGGGCTCTTTCGTGATCCCAATCTCCCCCGCACCTCGCTACAAAGCCGCAATGCAACCACCATAGATACCTTCCTGCTCTCACTTCTCGAGCCGCACGAGAGATTCCTCCTTTCCAACCTATCTCATGTTCAAAAGGTGGAAGAGATTCTTCGCCGGTCAACGATTAGCAGTCCTCCTTCTGTTCCCTGGAGTTGGTTTCCCTCACAGAAGGATCGAGATCTGGATCCTCCCGCATTGGCAAGAGATATTGATGCGGAGAGCCATCTTCACTTTCAGCGCATTTCTTTTGAGGAGCTCGTCCGTTACTCCTTGGGGTATCCAGCCGCCTCCGTCGATTGGTTTCTACAACAGCACACTGCCTTTTACATTCACCTCTTGGACTATCTCAATGCATTTCCTGAGGAAGTAGCGCGGTACGCTGAGGTTGAGAATGTTGGTGGCCTTGTACATGTGATGAGGTTGTAGATTCTTCTTACTGATACTCTGCACAGCACCTCCGAGGCCGAAGCCCTTTTGCCCATCGTGCCTTGGTCCACTGTCTGCTCTCTATGCAGTCTCAGACCGGTTTGGACGTGCCGCTGGTCTCGAGTCAAACGCTGGCGTTCGAATTCATAGCCGGGCCTATTCAGAACCTATTCCAGGATTCCCCACCCAGCCTTACCTCCATTCTCAAGGTACTCTCTGTCCTTAGGGTGCGCTTTCAGCAAGCATATGTGCATGCACGGGAGATGAACTGGGTTCGGCCCTTCAACATCAGCGTGTGCTTCTTGGACGACCTCTTGGCCTCGACATCGGCCGTGGACTTTGGGCGAACCCTGACAAATATTGACGAGGGCCAATTCTCAAACCTGACGCCCGCATCAATTGCTGAGGAGAGTTCCGTAGCCATACGCTTGATCGAAGAATGGGGGTTGTTAAGCACAGCCGTGTGGGAATGCTGCGCAGCCTTGCCAGATCTGGTACCATATTTGCAGGAATGTGCAGAGGTGCGTACGGAACTATTATCGAGCTGATGTCCTACCTCAATCCCCCATCAACACTGACTGGTGATACAGGCTCTCTTGACCACTCGCAATTATCACTCGTTCACTGCTGTTCTGAATGGTCTGCAGAAGTACAGCATCACAGCCCTGACGATTACCAACACCAACAACGGCACTAGTACTGTAGCTCTGAATCTGGTGTTACCCACTAACTTAGTCTACCTGATGAACCCCTTTCAGAATTATGCAGCCTATCGCCGGCAGTTTCAAGAGTTCCCAGGCATTCCGTTTCTCTCCCCACACCTTCGGGAAATCAGACAGCACGGAGAGCCAGCATTGCGCCAATTCTTCAACAACTTGCAGATTCGTACACGCTGATGAACGAGTGCAGGTCGCTCATATGATATGTAGGCGTCTCTTGGTATAGGTTTCATTGTTACAGAAAGGAGAGAACTACCGCTTGTCTATGGGAGGATGACATTTGTATGTGGTATATTTAAATTGATATCATCTAGTTGGTAGGGTTACGGGATTTTGGATTCAGATCATGAATTGCCTTTCGCATATACAATGAGTTAATCAAGTATGTAGCAGCCTCGTTCGCGAGTCTCTTTCAAGCCTTTCAAATGGAGTGATCAAAGGGGAGCGGTCTTTTTCTCGCCGTTTCTACCTCTTTTCGCTGATATCATGGATCTCCTACAGAGACAGACCCTTCAGATGCACCGGTTCCCTCAAAGAATCATGGAGTCCGCTCATGCAGCACCTCGCAAGAACGTTGCAAGCAATACATCATCATTGCCGATCCCCAACCTGTTTCAAGCCCCCTTCTGGATTTTATTCGCCGCCCCCTTCGCCTCGCCAAACAGGCCCGTCAAATAAGCAATTCGATTGATCATCAGAAAGCCCGTGATCCCGACATTCCCCCAGGTCAAAACATTCCAATTCATAACGTCGACAAATCTGTCATGGCCCATGCAGCGGTACGTCACGTAGACGTGGCCCACATCCGCGATGGCCAGAGCATAGAGGTAGTTACGCAGCACCCTGGGCTCATTGGTTGAGTAGCAGATTCCGATGCCTAGGATACTGAGGAGACCATAGACATTGGCTAGCTGGAAGGCGAGGGCTGCGCTGGTCGGGTGAATGGATTCGGGGCCTGTGACACCAGGAATCTGATCTGTTATGAACGCTTTGAGGTCCCAGAAGGGGAGAACCCAACCCCCAATGCTGTGTCTATTAGTTGATTGCATAAAAAATGGAACATGTAGATGGCAGTGAGGACGTACAGGGTGATCGGCTCTATGACGGCAAAGAGGATGTGAGGCCAAGTTGGGAAAATAGTGGACATTTTCTTCAGAGTTGATGAATCGATTCTTGGCTTGAATTGTATAGACTTGATTCGAAAGATGCGCGATATGATGAAATTGACTAATACGCCCCGTAAGAGAGATGAAGCTATTGATTGTTGTTTACTACGCGGGCACGCGCAGAGAAGTAGATGTGAGCCGATCCTGAGGTGTTCGGACTCATAATCAGCCTAATGTCTGCCCCTTACTGAAAACAGTGAATACACATCCTGCCCTTCAAACTGATCCGTATACTGCCCTCTCTGAACCATCTTTGATTCCGGTGAATCGATTAATATCCGGATCTCTGGGGCAAATCCAAGGATCTAGATCCCCAATGGACCCGTCATGGCGGCCTTAGTCATCTGCATCGAAAACCGGAACTGCGCTTCTGGCATAGTCACCGTCCTGTAATGCTGCCTGGGGTGCCATCATGATCCCATCAGGATTTCGGGCAATTCTTAACCTGCTTTTCTGCTTCTTCTGATGGTAGAGTTTCCAGTGCCTCTCGTCACAATGGACTGTGCAACATCTCTTGGTTGTTCGGCGATGTCCATCATCATATTGTGACCTGCATTTCAGATGGCACGAAACCCTACAATGGATACTAACGGCGCTTTATCTCGACCTCTTGATGAGTCTCTGTTTCGTGAACTTCCACAGCTCCAAAGTCTCCGCATTGCTCCTCTCCGTCAGCCGGTCTCTTCCCGTCTGCTGAGCGTTCCATCACCTCTCGAACCGAACACCAGTGGAATCGGCGAGCCAAATGCCAGCACCAAATCCAATACGCCTGGCGCAAATCAGCCCGCCAATCTCCCCACTCTTACGGAGTTCTTGAACGCCGCCCAGTCGAAGAAGAACGGTCATGCGGTGGACACGCTTCTGAGTTTGGAGCCCCCTCCAAAAACCATATTGCCAGCTTTTGTCAACCTTCGAGCTTTGGAACGATTCCCGTATTCCTCGTTCCACGATGACTCTCTGGCTCGCAAGCGTCGCCGTTTAGATGTTCAAGCAGATTCCTTCGGAGAACATTTGCAGCTTCCGATACCCCAGGCGCAGAAAGAACATCGACCTCCGCCATTTGGACCATTTGCGATTCTCAATGGGCTGAATGAACCGCCCCCGAACGCTGCTCTCCTGCCTCCTATCGAACCTGGCTCCATCACGCAACTGCTCACCAAACCATCGCGGGATGCCGCTGTTGTCGATTCCGTTACATTGACTGCTACTACGACGACGGTTACTCAGACGGCTGAACGAAGGGAAGGGAGAATCGAGGATATCCTTGACTCCCCCATCGATGACAAGACTGCCAGTGCTGACCAAGACCCCGTGGAAGCAAACTCGTCAGCAAACGGGGCGACCGTTGATCGACCGGAGGGTGACAGTGAAAAATCCGAATCCGATAAGACTCCTACTCCGCCTACGGATGATGCCGAGCCGCTTTCTCCAAAGACGAGGGGCCGCTCCCGTAAGAATCTTCGCAAATGGACTGAGGAGGAGACGACCGCATTGCTCCGCGGGGTGGTCAAGTGCGGTATCGGTAACTGGACGGCTATTTTGGCGCAGCCAGAACTGAAATTCAACAAGCGAAGTGCCTCAAATTTGAAAGACAGGTATGATGTGGACGCAGTTTCCGAGAAGCCAAGAGCTAACATCGACTTTTGCGTCGTCAGGTTCCGCGTTTGTTGTCCCTGGGCATATCGGTGAGTCTTTACTTTCACATTCTTCAGTTGCAGCCTCTAATTTTGTATAGCGCTGCCGACCCAAACGAGGCCACGAAGCAGTTGCACGATACGCTGGCCAATGCACTCCTCAGAGCTGAGGCGGAAGGTTCCGATGGCACAGCTGGAAAGATTCTGCTTCCACAACCAAGGCTGACCAATTCCGAGCCTCATACCTCCAATGGAGGATCAATGGCCATTGTGAATGAGTCAGCCTCTACCGGCTCGTCCTCGGAAGCCGATATCAAAACGTCGAAGTCCCGCTCGAAATACGGGCCGTCTTTCAAGGCCACTCCTACTCTTTCAAATAGATCTAAATCCACTCTTGCCTCTCTCGGCATTCCTGAACCACACTTTGCCATGAAATCCCGGCGTCGCTCCCGCCGCCCATTTACTGTCGCTGAAGACGAAGCTCTACTCAAAGGGTATGCCGTCCACGGATTCCAATGGACACTCATCCAGCAAGATAAACGCTTGAACCTTAGCCACCGGAAGGCAACTGATCTTCGGGATCGATTCCGAACCAAGTTCCCCCACGCGTATCGTGACGGAGGCTCCGTCAATGGTAGATCATTGCATAGCCAGAGTCAAGGCGTAGGCCTGGCGGATACAAAAAAAGCACCTCCCATAAAATCCAATACACAATCTACTCGGCAATCCACGTCCTCCGCACGGGGCGGTAAAACTGATTGGGCAGACCAAGTCTCCTTGGGACCTATTGATCCGGCCCTTTCCCCCCCTGCTCCTCCACAGGGTTTGCTCGAGGCCGCGGCAAATGCCCCAGCGGGCACTACCATTTTGCATTTCCCAATGGACGAGAACTCTTCGAATCCCCCCGGCGTTGACGCATCCTGGGCCGATAACACCCTCGCACCGATGGTCTGGGACGAGCTGGCCTAATTCTACTTTCTTCCATACCGGCCTTTTATTGACCTTCTTACTCTCGTTCCCCATCATCTTTTAACTTTCCCACTTACACTCATTGTCGTTTACGGCTTCTTCATTGTCGGGCTCTTTACACTCTCGTTCTCGTTCTTCCCTTTCGCCTCGTTCCGTCCGTTGTTTTCTTATCGCAATTGCTTTGTTTTTGATTAAACCAATACCCCGCAGTACACGATGGTTTTGCTAATTAGTTTTTGAAACACTCCCCTTTTATCCATGCCGGCTCAGCGCTGGCAAAGGGAACTGGAAAAGGACAAGGATAGGAAAAAATAGAAGAGACTAGAAGAAACTAGATTTCTACCGGGGACGAGACATATAATAATTCTCCGGAATCGAGATATCACTTTCTTTTCACCTGCCAGAAAGGTCCTTCTGGGGTCTTGTAGACCCCTCGACGTATGTGATTATTACAGCGCCCCTTACTTGACTGAGGGAAGGAATTAGAGTCTTGAGTAGCAGAAGTTCATATGGGGGCAATGAAATTAACGCTGAATTAGCAGAACCACGACGTTCGCCATGCTGTCAAGAACGGCAATCACAACTTAACGGGAAAAAAAGCAGATGGGATATGTGAACCAAGTGCAATATACAGCAATAGTCAAAAGAGCTGAAGCTGGAAACATACAGTCACCGACTTCAATAGTAGCAAACAAAGAGATGCCGCCCCCAAAGTGTCTTGAGACGAACATAGAAACGCTGCTTTACATTTTTGCGCTCCTGCGCAACAAACCAAAGGTGGAATTCAACAGTCATATGGGTCTTGGGAAGGGAAGGGGGAAGAGGGCGCTAAAGCGGGAACCGCAGCGAACACGACGTATATCTGAGACGCTGTTGGGCATTGAGAGGTTGCAAGGAATGAACGGATAGGACATGACCGGATTGGATGGTAACGAGACGGACCTTCACTCTGGAAGTATCATTCACCAAGCATTGCGGTCCCAGTTTGGATCTACACAGCTGTTAGCTCTTCTCTTCTTCGTATTTCACAGACCAAGAGAAGATAGCTCACCCTGTATAAAGCTCGCTAGCACCTTACTCCCGGTCTGCAAAAGCGGATGACCGGCAACGATCTGCAAGAACCGCTGCAAGCCCTCGCGACGATGCTCGATTACGTCGTCGCTGAACCGGTTCGTGAACACTTTCCCCGGCAAGGGCGGGATCGTGACTCTCGTGCTTTCGCGCTCTAGGATGTCGCGGAAGTATTCAAAGTCGGAGTACCGTCGGCGCACGACCGAGTGCTTCAGTTTGAAGGCGGGGATGTTTGTTCGGCAGACGATCTCGTACGAGGTGTACATGTTGCGGGATGTGCCATGTGTCTGGGGATTACGGACCTGGGTACGATGAGGGGGTTAGTCTCGAGTTGTTATTGGATTGTAGGAGAGTTGGATTGCGAATATGATATGGGACTTGTCGGTGGATTGATAGAGCGGGGTAGTTTCGGCATGAGAGTTGTCGATTGCGTACCTCGATCTCGAGAAAGTTCTCGGGAGGCCCGTAGATCTCCTCGAATGTTTGTTGTCGCGATTCAGGGACGGCTTGCATTGTCGGTGACCGGGGTGTCTTGTTCGGCGTGACCAAAAGTGAACGGGGAAGATAAACAGGATGCTGAGCAGGTGTGGGAAAGGACCGCGGGGAAGACGGATGTTGCGACTGGTTAGTAAGGTAGGAGCAGGACTGTTACAAGGTGCGCGGGCTCTCGAGGAGGAGAAGGAGTGGATGTTCTTGAGGCTGTTAGAATGATATGGGAAATTGTAGCAGAGAAGTGGGAGAGAGAGCTTTCCGCGATTGCGTCAAGTATGCCTGATGGCAGATGGATCTCTGTCTCTCTGTGCTGCGGTATTATTCAATGGGATCATCCTTGTCTTCTTCTAGACCGTTCTGAGTAAAGTGACGGGTGACAGCTCGCATTATCATTGATCCGTCATCGAGGTTCTTATCTATCGCTTATCAAGACCCCCTTGATCCTGCATACGTCAATGCAATGGCCAATGGACAAATTAAGTGTACACAAGTGGAAGAAAAAGACGAATCATTAAGGCAGAGGTGATTCCCTGTCGTGAACCACCTGACTACGAATGCCTAGTCGTAAATTAAAAGACCCAGAAATGAAATCCCTAGGAGCCAATTGCATCCTCCTGCAAGCCCTAATGCAATAAGACCAGTAGCCGGAGAGCTTATTCGCAGATAGTGTGCCACCCATCCTCAAACTCCAAGCATGCCGAGGGGCCCGAGTCTCATTCTTGTCAGACGTGCGATGCGATTGGCCCCAGAAGTGGCAGTCAATGTAGTCCGTGTACGTTTCAGGCACGTTGTTGAATGTGCCCTCAATCACTCCATTTCCAAGAAACCGCATCTCGCCAGTACAGCTAGGATTGCATGAACCTCGCCGCTGACCTGATCAACACCGCGCCACTTGAAGAAGCATCCACCTTCGCCTGAAGAAGGTCACTTGGTACGGACGCTGCGGCATACAGAGAATGTCCTCCAGGTCACCAGTCTGAAATTCACATCAGATGCGCGTCCTGTACAGATAGAGGACCATTCCTGAATTGCGAGTGTTGCCTTCTTGCAAGTCGACCTCGTACGATCCGTTAAGAAGGCCGAGCTTTATCCGTTGCGTTTGAAGAATCTATTTTCAGCGCGAAGTGTGAGCAGACTGTTAAGCGGGGCTAGAGAAGCGAGCAATGCTCTAAGATTTCTTTTGCTTACCTCGCCGTAATCTATTTGCGCTGGTTTCTTCCTGGAATTCTCTTCGTTCTTCTGCTTTTCTTCAGTCTTGGTTCGTTTCAAAGGGAGTTGACCGTTTCTATCCTCCACGATCCCAAGGTTGACAATGATGCTCAAACTAGGTTCTGCGGCCCTTGCAGCGGCCAGGATAGCAAAAGGATCTTTTTTGTTCATCGCGTCTTCAAAAGCAACATTAGCCTTGCGATTTGCCGGCTTGCAACAAGTTTCCGTGGCTGTCTTCTGGGTCGTATCCCACTCCTGTTTGAATTCTTTTTCCAGCCTTTTCTTTTTAAGTGAGCAGGCACTTCTAGCATGTCATGATTCAATGCATCTAAAAGTCGCAATATTGCCATGCCCTTGCGATCTGATGGTTGAAGGCCATAATGAAGGAGCTGCGCTTGGTACCAGTGAGCAGACTGGTCCTGGACAGACGTTTTCGAAGACGACGAGAAGAAGAAGGCCTTGAATTCAGCGACGCTCTGGCGACGGTAGGGCTTATCATGCAATATGGCGTTGAACTCACGGTTGTAGTATTCAAAGCMATCCCGGGTCACTGGAGGTGTGGGACTCATTGGACTCGAATTAGGCCTGGGTAGCGGTGAGACGATTGATTATATGGCCTGCGTTCTGCCTCCTTTATCTCTTCGTGGCAGAGTCAAGAACTTGAGGATTAGGGGATAGTGAAGGAATGGGCGGGGTAATCAAGCGAGCAATGATCACGACGATGTATGACTGTGAGTGAAGTAACCTCATTCTCCATTCATCGAAGTTGTCTGGCAAGACTTGGCTCGAGGACACAGCCTATGTGTCTTTCAGCCTCTGTTGAACTTTCAGGAAGGTTGTCAGCATTCCCAAATAGGATCTCAAGGCTGACAGAATCTCGGTCTCATACCTCGCATTGGCGCGCCAGATGCTAATGAAAGGTACCCACTAGCTCTGCTAGTAGCTCAGTGCTATAGATTGCTTTTGACAGATGAGGCCTCAGAATGACTGCCCCAGTGGTTTCGTGTACTGATGGAACCCGGGTTGAATGACGGTGAGATGCCCATAAATAGTAACTTGGCGTCTAAGAATCTAATGGCATCACTGCGCATGCTTTGCAAAGTAAACAATGCAATGCTCAATACTGGAGACTCCTAAGCCTTCGCAGGTCCAGCCGTATATACCAGCGACAGTGAGGGAAGAGTCTTTCAATACAGGAAGACGATGTCACTCAAAGAGACACTTGGAAAAGGAAATGAGACACTTTCAATTTATCTAATACACCTTGGAAAAGCTTGCTTGCAGACCCGCAGAAAATGAATAGCCAGATTCCCCAATAGACCGTTCGAGTAATGACAATCAACGAAGAGAAAAGAAAAGTAGGCAGCCCAGCGCAAACGAACGAGTTATAAAGAAGACTTTGGTACAGATGAGTTTGGTCAACCATTAGGTTCAGATGCCACGCGAGAATGACGATGTACTGGGGCAAAAAAGGAGAATACTGGTTAGCCGACGAGCATCACCCTACTCCTGCCGACTACGCTTCGCACCGTGGGGGTTCCACGACCCATCGCTGACTCCCTGGTTTTGAGGGAAGAAGCCTTGATTGAAAGCTGGGTTGGGGCCTTGAAAGCCGCCTGCTCCTATAAAAGACATGTCAGAAACGGACGATCTTTCACCGACGATGACAGAGTCTTCAAGACATCGAACACAGCTAGACGCACCTTGCATGCCCATGTTCCCACCCATTGCACCCATCATCGGGTTCATCCCACCAGCCATAGGATTCATACCCATACCACCCATGGGATTCATCGCTGGCATTCCCATCATATTCGGCCCAGCCATACCACCGCGACCGCGCATTCCGCCAGGACCGCCGCGCATGCCACCGCCCATCATATTGCCACGGTTGTTAAAGCCGTAGTTCTGCATCCCTCCCATTGGATTGCCCTGGAAGCCTCCGACCATAGGGTTGCCTTGAAAACCGCCCATTGTGTTCTGGAAGCCGCCTCTTCCCCCGAAGCCTCCCATGTTACTCATACCGCCGCGGTTGTTGAAACCTCCCCGTCCGCCGCGGAAGCCTCCGCCCATGTTGCTCATGCCAAAGTTCATGTTCTGGTTCGGTGAGTTGAAACCTCCTGATAGTGAACGGGCCTGATTGTCCTTGCGCATAGGGGCGTCCTTGGGCAGTGTGCGGAATGGATTTGTGTGAGGGTTGGTATAATGAACCATGTATTTACGGCCCCCTTGACTTGAGACGTTCAAGTTCTCAATTTGATGCTTGGCAGCTGTTGCAGCTTGGAGTGTGGTAAACTCAACAAACGCTTGGCTATTTTGTATTGTATAATTAGCATGGCGGAACTCGCAGGGAAACAGAAAAAGAAGGCCTACCCTTTGCTTTTACCATTGACTTTGTGCTCACTGAACGTTACATCCTTGAGCTCATCTTCGCACCCGGCTTCATTGATCCAGCCACGGATGTCATCGTCAGTAGTCCACCAATACAGGTCGGAAATAAGCAAAGCAGTTGTAGCGTCCGGATCCGACGGACGATCGTCGTGCTCCTTGCGCTTTACACCCTGTTGCGGCGCCGGCGCTGTTTGAGAAGCTTCTTGCTGCTGGGCGTCGTGCGCCTGTGTTACATGTTCACCGTTGGCACCAGTGCCGTCTCCGTGCTCCGGTTGACCTTTCTGCTCTGTACTGGTTTCGCTTTGGCCAGCGGCGCCGTTTTGTGTCTGCTCTGGTGCATCTAGGATCAGCTCCGAGTCCTCATGCTTGATATAGTCTCCTTGGTCGTTGGCGTTGTAGCCACCGCCGTCACCATAGATGTCAATATCGAAGTTATCATCTTCAGTGGCCATCGTGTTTAGATATAGATCGCGATATCAAGGCAGAATGTTGTGCAAATATACAATCTTTGTTTTTCTTGGTTCTTCTTTCAGCCTCGATCAATCACTGGAAGTACATGTCTGCACACACAGATTTTCATTAGCAAGGAAAGAACATGTGTTGATTGGAAGGAATATTGAGTAACGTTTGGCTTCCCCTGGGTAAGGGCCGTAGTGCAGAGCCAAGTAAACCAAATAAGTGCAAATAGCGAAGAAACACGAGACGTACGAGCGTAGCACAGTGTGAGAAGAAGGCTCGAAGATACGTACAATCCGAAGCGAACACAGCTTCAAAAAGGAACAAAGTCTCCACCAGTTCGTAGATTTGACAGCTCCTGAACGGAGACACAGGGCGTAGGTATTCCTCTCACTCTCCTCTTCTTTTGCGTTCCAAATACAAAATAGGTGCCAGAAGTTTCGATAATGAAAGAGACGGGTGCGGAGATATTTCAACAGAATCTGAGGTGCTGCGCAGACTCCCGACTGCCACAGCCTGGCAAAGGCACTTTGCTAACACACACGAACGGTATAGGTCTTGAGATAAAATCACAGAGTTAATGAGTTAGTAGATAGACTGAGATGTTTGAAAGATTAGTAGAGATTTGTCAAGGCTGCTGCAGCCCAGGCAGTTAACAGGATCCCAGCCTGATCTGTCTCCCCTGACTTGTCGTCGAATGACTATTGGACGCAGAGTGAGGCGACCAAAAAAACGCAAAGGAAATTGTAGTCGAGGATTGAGCGAGCACGATAAGCGGTTATCCCTTCAAAGACGTGGTGAAGCGCGTCGACGGCGATAGCAAGAGAGAAGCGGTAGCTTTGATGTCGATTGGAGCTTGTGGAGCTGACTTCCCCCGGGCCGGCGGAATTAAAAGTCCGAACCCCAGAAGGCCAGCTCTCCTGTTAGGGGATGATCTGTCGATTAAGCATCGTGGTGACTTATTGTCGAGATCATCCTTCTCTCCCTCATTCCACATTCCGTCCTTTCTTTACTACCTTCTCAAACAACTACTCGCTTCTTGGGTTCTCTAGCTATTGACTTTCTCACATTTTACTGATTCTATCTTTCCCTCCCTTTAATCCCACGTCCCTGTCCGACTCGCACAGCACCATGTCCGACACTATTCAAGAACTCGCCGATATCCCTCGCGACTTCCTTCGGGATGGCATGCTGTTCGTGCGCAGATGCACCAAGCGTATGTCTATCTTTGATAAAGCTCCAGGGACGGGTCTCATCTAATACAATGCGTAGCCGACAAGCGTGAATTCATCAAGATCAGCCAGGCTGTAGGCATGGGCTTCATCATCATGGTAAGCACTTCTCGTCTTATTGCGCGTAACCTTTATGAGCATATAAATACTAACTGCGTCTAGGGTGGTAAGTTTTTCTCCTTATAGAGCATTAATACCCCGATACTTTTCAGGAGATGCTTACTCTTAGCATAGCCATCGGGTACTTCATCAAGTTAAGTGAGTATACCGCCGAGTCCTGGCAAGCATGCGACGGCCCTTGCTAAAGTTCTTTTCACTACAGTACACATCCCCGTCAACAACATCCTCGTCGGTGGCGCTTAAATGGAGGCGACAAATCCAAATGCAACCATGAAGCAGGTGCCAAAGAGGATCCTCCGAGATTGAACAAAGCCAATCGCGCGGCGACGTGATCTAAACGAGTTCCTAATCTACCGGAGACGAAGATAAATCGCGAAAATCGATATGGGGTCCCGGACAACCATTGTTCCAACATGCTCCAGAGAGTTCGGCAAGAAGTTGCCTTCGGGTTATTATGCCCTTGCGTCAATTTTGTATAAATACCACCTCTTCTTTTTTATCTCAGGCCTTTCAAGGAGCTTTGGGAGGCAAATGCAGCCTTTTTTCCCTTTTTACAATACATCAATTGTCATGAGACATTTCGAAATTTCAAGATAGTGGCGACCTATGTGCTTGCACCAATCCTCTAATGCGGTCTGTCAGTTGAATGCGAACAGATATCCGAGTACTCTCTCGAGAATGTAGTCTAAGGAAAGATATACTGAAACTCTGTTCTTATGTACAGAAATCACMAGAGCTCATATGCAAGTTCTTCGTCCAACGGACTCCTTCTGACAGGCCGACTCCGCACCGATTTTTCCTTGTACTGGTTGAATTCGGGCAAATAATTTAACTTGCAATCGTAGCTCTTCCCGATCGATGGTGTACCTTCGTCATCAGCAGCACCATCGTTCCAGCTATGCAGGCTGCAGGTACCTGTGGACAAACCCCAGCCGTTCCAGGATGTTGCTAAACTACAGTCAGCATCCCGCCAGTGTACTTCCAGAGTTAGAAAAGGATGGTCTTACCAGCGAGGACTGGCGCGCTGGGATGCCAACTCGCATCCCGAACGCAGGTCCTCCACAGCATCTCCCCGCTCCTACTCCTGATTTCATACGCCGTGGTGAATATGTCAGGATCGCGCGGTCTCGAATTCAGAGTTGCAAGTCCGACATCAATAGTGCCCGCAAGCGTTGCGTCCAGGTTGTAAATATACACTTTGCCGTCTTCACTTCCGGTGTAAACGTAGCGCGAGTTTGTGCTACCCGGCGGCGAGAAATGGCAACGGATGAGCGTCTTCAGAACCCGATGACCTCGGAACGTGACAACGGAGCAGTCGTGTGGATGCGGCTCGTAGTAATCTTCGGGATAGGGCTCGAATCTGTAATCATAACCGGTGGTATAACTGCTCACGTCGATGTCTGCAAACTTCGCTGTCGTCATCATCTTTCTCAAATCCCACAATTTCATCGTCTGGTCCTTCCCGTTGGAAAGCACATATCGGCCGTCTCCTTTGCTGTCGACGTATGTGATACCTTCCGTATGACCTATGAACACTCCAGCCTCACGGCCGTCGCCCATGGAACGCCGGTCCCAAACACGAATCGTGGAGTCATCCGAGCCGGAGTACAAAATGTGAGGCGACGATTTATCGCCAAAGCAGACGGCGTTGACATCGTCTTCGTGCTTCTGTAGCCTTAGAACAGACTGCCGTGTTTCGATGTCATAGACAATTACGGAATTGTCAGATTTGCCGGCAACAATTTCGCGTCCATCACCCGAGAATCGGATTGACCATATCTGTTACCTGGTCAGCGGCTACGCGACAATCATTTACGAGGGATGCGCACCGCAGTATGAGAGCTATCGTGGAAGCCCCGCCCGACACGGCCTAGGGACAGATCCAACACAGAGGGGTCAGATTGATCAGCTGGGTCGGTCGGTGCAAGGCAGACGATATTTCTAATGGAGGTGTATGCCAAGAACTTGTTGTCTGGACTCAAGCTCGCATCGGTAATGGTCCACTGGCCGAATGGATAGTCGACAGTCTTGTAGTACTTCCACTCGAATGGATTAGATGTATCGTACATCCGGACTTTGAAGTCCTGCGCACAACAGAAGAAGAAGTTACCGTCGTCAGAGAATTGACCCGAATAACATCGCGAGTCATAATGAATGATCTTGTCTGCGGCGGAACCAGGTATCAAATCCTAAGAGGCCCACCCAATTAGTACAAAGCTCCTGTTTCCATCGCAGGAGGTCGAGAACTTACTTGTGCAGTTGACTGGACACCCAGTCTCTGCCTTCCAGACACGTCAACTCCCAGTTCTCTCCACATCATCTTTGCTGCAAGAGTCTTTTTGCGTTTCTTCAGCATGTCAACATAGTAAGGATCGTCTCCGAAATCACCGGATCGCATGAGTTCTGTACCCTCATCACTTGGAACCTTCGGTAAATTCTCGGCTCGCGAACGTCGTGGTCTTCGTGAATATCTCAAGAAACCGAACTCTTCGTCGTCTTCATCTTCATCACCTAACGTGCCCCCTCGCCACCCATTGTAGTGGAGGATATGTCGCAGACCATTGGAAGCTAACAGATTCAATAATCGAGCAGCTGATACTGCTGGCACCAGTCAGTGTCGATAAAGAAGTAAATGCGAGTGGTGTCGGGTAATGATACCTCGAGTCTGTCTACCTTCTTGAGTTTCTCCGCCAGGATCTTGATCAGGATCATCCATGGAGAACTCAATATGTATATTACCTAGACGCAAGTGAGGGTCTTCAAATTGTTCGACCCGAGATTAGTCTCATGTGGAAGATCAGCAGTCCATCGCGGGGAAAGCTACCGAAGTGACCTTCGCCATCTTCATCCTCATCCTCATCTTGATCTTCATCTTCATCTTCATCCTGGTCTCTATCTTCCGTAACCTCGGACTCCGGTTCATAATCCATGTCATCTTCCTCCTCGTCCTCTTCAAGCCACTCCCTAGCCGGGTGCCACACTGTACCGGAGACTGTCCGAGGCGGAGACTCTTCCGACCTGTTACTACCAGCGGAAGACGAACCAGATGGATTCATAGTCGGTAAGGTATGTGATCAACTGTTGCGGCGGGAGGCTATATCAAACGTATCATCCCGGTATCCAATATCTCTGCAGCTTCAAACATGAACAAGAAAGAAGTGAATGTCCATGCCTCGCGGATCTGTTTGATCTGAGTGAGTTGGGGCATTGTTGCTTAACTTGCTTATCGATAGGTCACCAACTCCGGGTTATGTCATCTGGTGGGTTCTCCGCTTTCCGTTAACCCCTATCTCCGAGTGTTTTGTAGTCAGCAGTGCCTAGGTAACGTAATCCACAAGCGAGCGGCCATTCCAATCGAGCGGCCACCCTCTTCAGATTTGACCGCGTCTCATTATTTTGAATTAATTAGCACGTCACCATGCCTCTAAACTCACATAAAAAATCAAGGGAATTAGCTGAGCAGGAGGGAAGGATTCTACTTGCAATATCTGCTCTTAAGAATGATTAAATTTGTAATATTTCTGAAGCTGCATGTGTTTATAATATCCCCTGTACAACTCTTCGACGACGCCTAGATGGCCATATCTTTTGACCTGAGGCACGCGCAAACGGGTATAAAATGACTCAGAATGAAGAAGAATCACTTATTAGGTGGATCTTATCTATGGATTAATGTGGAGCAGCTCCTTGGCTATCTTATATTTAAGAAATGGCTAATATCCTCCTCTCAAGGCGCGGATTACCTGTTTCCCAGACTGTGGGTAAGAACTGGGTATATAACTTTATTAATTAGCATGAAGAGATTAAGACTCGGTACTCTAGGCGCTATAATCACCAGTGTGCTAAATGTGAAGATCCAAAGATTATCCAAGAGTGGTTTAATTGTGTCTAGATTACTATAATGCAGTATGGGATTGCATATAAAGATATCTATAACTTTGATAAGACTGGCTTTATAATGGGCTTAGTAGCTACTGCTAAAGTAGTTATAAGAGCTGAGATGCTTAGTTGGCCCTTTCTTATCCAGCTAGGGAACTGTGAATGGGTTATATCTATAGAGTGTATTAACTCTACTGGCTGGGTGCTTCCACCATATATTATCTTTAAGGGAAAGGTCTATATTAAGGGCTGGTATTAAGATCCAGCCTTACCAGCAGACTGGTGGATTGAGGTTAGTGAGAATGGATGGATGACTGATTAGATTGGATTATGATAGCTTTAAAAAGTCTTTATTCCTGCTACTACTAGTCGGACAACTGGTAGATATTAACTATTAATTCTTGATGGCCATGGGAGCCATCTAACTCCTTAGTTTGATTAAATCTATACTGAGAATGATATTATTCTAATCTGCATGCCTGCACATTTATTACATCTACTCTAACCTCTGGATGTTGGCTGTTTCTCTCTGCTAAAACGCGCGTATGGCTGCTTGATTAAGGATAAGATACAAAATGGTTTCAACCATATTGATAAGTTTGACTTCCTTGAGGCCTATCCGCAGGCTTACATAGTAATCTTTTTAGCAGATAATATCAAGAGTGGCTTTTCTGCAACTGGATTAATACCACTAAATCTAGATTAGGTGCTCAGTCAGCTTAATATCTAGCTTAAGACCCCTATACCACCAGGCAGCTAATCGACTAATTCCATCCTAAAAATACTATATAATCTTAAGCAGCTAAAAAAGCAGGAAAGCATGCTTAAAAGGCTACTCAGAGAGTGTATATATAGTCCTCCTACCCCTTCTAAGGCTGCGCTAGATCAGCTTATCAAGGGGTGTGAGATGGTAATGAATAGTGCTATCCTTCTTGCAAAGGAAAACCATAATCTATGTGCTGTATATAAGAAGCAGCTTTAAAATAAGAAGTGATCTAGGAGGTAGATGGAATCTGCAGAGGGATTCTTAATCCAGGAAGGGCAGCAGTTCATTCAACAGAGGAATCAGGCTGAGGAAGCTATCCAGGCAGTAGATGCAGAACAACGCCCTCAATGGGCACCCCTGCGCTGCAGTGACTGTCATATTATAGGCCATAAATGATTGCAATGTCCGCAGCGCAAGAATAACTAGTTTTAGTAATATAATCATGTTTTAGGCGTTCAAATACCCTCTAATTTCGGCCGCGGCCAAAATTCTATGGTTTAGTGGCCGCTCGATTGGAATGGCCGCTCGCTTGTGGATTACGTTAGTTGCGGTCTGTAGAGCAGCCATAAGAGCACAGAACTCTTGACCGAGCAAGTCT